GAGATGCACCTACTTCAGGTTTCACCTTTCTCTCCCTGTTTACTCAGAGAGTGAATAGGAAAGAGAAACTATTTTGCTTTTTGAGTATCTGAGCAATTAGAATATATGAGCCCAGGGAAGTTCCTATAGGCTTTCAAAAACCTCTCGAGAGAACTGTATACAAGGAACATATGATTAGGTATTATTGACATGACGAGAGTCCAGAATAAGAGTTGCATAGTAAAGTGGTGGTTGAGGGAGGGGAGGGGGAACTAAGGTGTGGGACTGTATAACAATGAAAGAACTTTTTTTTCCAAAGAGAAAACGCAAACTAGGGGGCAGGGGAAAAAAAGTGTCACAATGAATGAATGAAAATTAAAAAAAAAAGGGCAGCGGCGGTGGTGGTGGCTGGTGCGAGCGCGCGCGGAGCTGGCTGGGGACGCTGGGCGGCCAGAGCGGCGGAGCAGGAGCCGCGGGGGGTGTGGCGTGAAGAATGATCACGTATCTGGGGCCAAAGAACAAGATGCTCTAGTCAACAGTGACCGGAGGCTGAGAACTTAGTTCTTTCCTTCCTCAAACTGACTTTGCAGCTACTAAGAGGAAGGGGAGATGGAAGGTGAGGCAGTTGAAGCCATTGTGGAGGAGTCCGAAACTTTCATTAAAGGAAAGGAGAGAAAGACTTACCAGAGACGTCGGGAAGGGGGCCAGGAGGAGGATGCTTGCCACCTACCCCAGAACCAGACAGAAGGGGGTGAGGTGGTCCAGGATGTCAACAGTGGTGTACAGATGGTAATGATGGAACAGCTGGACCCTACCCTTCTTCAGATGAAGACTGAAGTAATGGAGGGGACAGTGGCTCCAGAAGCAGAGGCTGCTGTGGACGATACTCAGATCATAACCTTGCAGGTTGTAAATATGGAAGAACAGCCCATAAACATAGGAGAACTTCAGCTTGTTCAAGTACCTGTTCCTGTAACTGTACCTGTTGCTACCACTTCGGTAGAAGAACTTCAAGGGGCTTACGAGAATGAAGTGTCAAAAGAAGGCCTTGCAGAAAGTGAATCCATGATATGTCACACCTTGCCTTTGCCCGAAGGATTCCAAGTGGTGAAAGTGGGGGCCAGTGGAGAGGTGGAGACGTTAGAGCAAGGGGAACTTCCACCTCAGGAAGATCCTAGTTGGCAAAAAGACCCTGACTATCAGCCACCAGCCAGAAAAACAAAGAAAACCAAAAAGAGCAAACTATGTTACACAGAGGAGGGCAAAGATGTGGACGTGTCTGTCTACGATTTTGAGGAAGAGCAGCAGGAAGGTTTGCTGTCAGAAGTCAACGCAGAGAAAGTAGTTGGTAACATGAAGCCTCCCAAGCCGACGAAAATTAAAAAGAAAGGTGTAAAGAAGACATTCCAGTGTGAACTCTGCAGTTACACGTGTCCACGGCGTTCAAACTTGGATCGGCACATGAAAAGTCACACTGATGAGAGACCACACAAGTGCCATCTCTGTGGCAGGGCATTTAGAACAGTCACCCTCCTGAGGAACCACCTTAGCACACATACAGGTACCCGCCCTCACAAGTGCCCAGACTGTGACATGGCCTTTGTGACCAGTGGAGAACTGGTGCGGCATCGTCGTTACAAACACACCCATGAAAAGCCATTTAAGTGTTCCATGTGCGATTATGCCAGTGTTGAAGTCAGCAAATTTAAACGGCACATACGGTCTCATACTGGAGAGCATCCATTCCAGTGTAGTTTGTGCAGTTATGCTAGCAGGGACACATACAAGCTAAAAAGGCACATGAGAACCCATTCAGGGGGAAAACCTTATGAATGTTATATTTGTCACGCTCGGTTTACCCAGAGTGGTACCATGAAGATGCACATTTTACAGAAGCACACAGAAAATGTGGCCAAATTTCACTGTCCCCACTGTGACACTGTCATAGCCTGAAAAAGTGATCTGGGTGTCCACTTGAGAAAGCAGCATTCCTACATTGAACAAGGCAAGAAATGTCGTTACTGTGATGCTGTGTTTCATGAACGATACGCTCTCATCCAGCATCAGAAGTCACACAAGAATGAGAAGCGCTTTAAGTGTGACCAGTGTGATTATGCTTGCAGACAGGAGAGGCACATGATCATGCACAAACGCACCCACACTGGGGAGAAGCCTTACGCCTGCAGCCACTGCCACAAGACCTTCCGCCAGAAACAACTCCTCGACATGCACTTCAAACGCTATCATGACCCCAACTTTGTCCCTGCTGCCTTCGTCTGTTCCAAGTGTGGGAAAACATTTACACGCCGGAATACCATGGCAAGACATGCTGATAACTGTGCTGGTCCAGATGGTGTAGAAGGGGAAAATGGAGGAGAAACCAAAAAAAGGAAACGGGGAAGAAAAAGGAAAATGCGTTCTAAAAAAGAAGACTCTTCTGACAGTGAAAATGCTGAACCAGACCTGGATGACAATGAGGATGATGAGGAACCCGCTGTGGAAATTGAACCAGAGCCAGAGCCACAGCCTGTGACCCCAGCCCCACCGCCCGCCAAGAAGAGGAGAGGACGGCCTCCCGGCAGAACCAACCAGCCCAAACAGACCCAGCCAACAGCTATCATTCAGGTTGAAGACCAGAACACAGGTGCAATTGAGAACATTATAGTTGAAGTAAAAAGAGCCAGATGTAGAACCTGCAGAGGGGGAGGAGGAGGCCCAGCCAGCTGCCACAGACGCGCCCAATGGAGACCTCACGCCTGAGATGATCCTCAGCATGATGGACCGGTGATAACGGGGCCTCACTCACCTCCAGGACTGCTCAGGGCTGTGTTTAAACGGCCTGCATCTTAAATTTTTCTCCCTTCCTTCTTCTTTTGGCTTTGGGAAAAGCATCATTTTACACCATTTTACCAGATGTACTGAGAACTAAAACTTCCAAGAATGATGTTAGGAAAATGTGATTTAACTAGGACTTGCTGTTTGATGTTAGCAATCATGGAATGTTCTGAAACTTGGAGGTTTACTGAGAAGTGCTGAGGACAGTGTTGAAGCCTACTTGTTTTCTTAGATGGAAACAGAGACATTATGCCCTCTTGCTTCGGTAAACCACTCCAGAATGGCCGCCACGTTTCCCAGAGTTCTATGGTCTTCTTCCCAGGAGTTTTTAATTGTAAATGCAAACTTGGGAAGGTCTTAGACTTTTAAACTGTTTTTTGCTTTTGCTTTTCTCTGACTCCCTTTGCTTGGAGTCAGCTGCACACCAGTAGTATGGCATGCTACGATCGGTTTCTGTCCTGAAAACTTTGCCTCTTTCTTGGCAAAGATTCTGGTATGGTCAAGCTTGTAAATAACTTTTTTTACATTTTAATCTTTTCCATTGATTAAGAAGTGCAGTGTAAGAAAACCCAGCAGTTTAATTACTTGCAAATTAAGTTACCACAGACTCTGTAGTGTGTAAATGTTGACGAAGAATTGGATTACAATCATGTAGCAGAACAGCACCCAGACTGCTGCCCGCTAATGACGGACGCCCGCACACCCGCGTGGAGGATCCTGCTTCCCAGCCCTGGAGCCAGCATCTGAACCTTGTGTAATTAGCTTTCAGTTATGATTTCCCATCTCCATTTTCTTTGCTCTGTTTGTAGCAGAATTTTGTGTTTTATAATCCTCTGTTAAAGCAGAAGGGTGATTATGAGTGGGTCACAGCGGCCCTTAAAAAAGCTGGGCCAGAAAATTTCACTAGGTCAATAATTTAAACTTTGGATCTTAAAAAAATAAAATAAAAAAGTAATAATGTGAAATAAAACCAACTAAAACGTGATTCTTGCACATGAACTGTCACATGTTTAAAATGTGTTTTTTAGAACGCCTCCATTTTGCTGATTTCAAACACTTTTCTTCTGTGTATTGCTTTTTAAGAGAGCCATCAGTTAGCTATCAGACTCTAGGTTGATGCATTTTGTACTTAGCTGTACTGTGTGATATTTTTCATTATTTTAGGACGCCAACATGAGACTTGACTGGGAGGAGAATCTACTGCTGTACAGCTAATAAATCATAACGGATTAAAAAAAAAAGAAAATTAAAAAAAAAAGAAAAAAAGAATTTGTTCAAATCTGTTCATACCAAATAAAGTACATTTTCTCAAAAAAAAAAAAAATTGAGGTTCTCAGGGAAAAAAAACAACCACCCCCCTCTGGAAAATGGTGGATTGTCATTTTTATAAGCCTTTTGAATTCAGGTGTGGAGGTTTCATTTGTTTTCCATCTGTTCGCTTAACATAAATTCCAACATCTTAACCACAAATACTTAGTATTTATGCACCCCTACTCCAGAACGTTGGAGTTCTGGTAGCCTAGTGATAAGTTACCCTGTCAAGTAGTTCGATTACACCAGCTGCCCTGTGGAGTAAGGATAGGCGTTCTCTCCCCATGCAGTTTGCTGCCTTTGAAAACCCACTGAAGGGTCAATGAGTCAGTTCTGACTCAACAGCATACAACCAACAATAACACCCCAAAACTTGATTATACTTTTTTCAAATAGTTATTAATAGCTACCTAGGTCTTTATCAGAAATTGAAGCTAGAACCTGATACTCACATCAGACTTCTCTGCTAGAAAATGAGAGACAGATGTTTGTGACCTGATATGAGGTAACTATGAAGTAAACTTTCTCATGTGATACAATGAAAAACCCTAATACTTAATTCCTAATAGTATTTTTTAACTTCAGCAAATCTCATATAGATATCATGTAAGTATTTAAAAACAACTGCATTAACTAAAACTAATTTAAATAGGTGGAGTTCCCTCTAAATCTACCAAAGAAAAATTTGACTTTTTTATAATACAATGAAAAATTTTAATTTCTTCATCAATTTCTTATTCTTTGACTCATGAACAGACACATGGACGTTTACAGGGAGAAACGAGCAAAAGAGCTGCTTTATCATTGCCACATTCTAGGGATAAAAATAGTTGTCTTGCTTGATTCTTCTTTCTTATTTTCTGTTTCATTATTAGAATTTTCTCCCAAACTGATTGGCTTGACTGGCACAAAAGAACAGATTGACCAGGTGGCCAAAGCTTACAGAGTATATTACAGCCCCGGCCCCAAGGATGAAGATGAAGATTACATAGTAAGTCAATTCTTGGATTTCAGCCCATGAGCCGACTCACAGGTTCCTAATAGCTGTACAGCCTTTCAATGATAGGCTTCAGAGAGAAAAGAAAACCTGAGATTATTGTTAATTTCCTGGGTAATTAGAGTATTTGAAAGGATAGTAGAAACATTGTTTTAAGGATGTTTCTTTAACTTAACTATAGTCACTGTTAAGCATGAACTTTTTTTTTGTAGTAGCACAAAAAAATAGGAGAAAATATAAAACCAGTGAATCTCAGACTCAATAAAATATAATTAACACCAAGCTGATACTAGAAACTATCATTTTGGTGCAGCATTTCTTTTCATTTAGAAATACTGCATGGGTTCTCCCTCTGTTCTCCCGTGTTAATGTAGCACTGTTCTAGGGGTCCTTCGCCAATGCCTGTTAACATGTGTTCCATTTATTAACAGGGCGGCACCAGCGAAGGCTGCAGCCACAATCCCCAAAATGCACATGATTTTCTTCTTACTACTGATATCTTTATTTTTATGTCACATGGAATTGACATTATCTTTTTATGATGGTATTTCTTTTTTAGCTGTCAGTTACACTAGTTTCTATATATTTGTTCAACTGAATGACTTACTTTTAAGAGCCTTTCTCCTGCTGCAAAGCTGGTTTTGTAGCCAGAACACTGGCTGTGACCTGCCAGCCTCCATGTTGGCCCCAGTGGAGAAATGCGAGTGGCAGCTCACTGCAGTGCTATGTCACCTTTGAACCAAGAGCTCTTTGTCTCTGTAACCTAAGTTGTGCCTTTCAAGTTATGCTACTCTAATGCCTTGTAGAATTAGGGACATGCAGATTCATAGGAGAAAAGGACAAGAAAAATTTAGTGTTTTCCATAAGCCATAAGTTTAAGGTAAGTGGGGACCTCTTCCTATCTCTCTCTTGCTCCCCTGGCAACATGGAAGGATGCGAGGACTACAGAGGAAGCATGCTCACTATGAGAATATGTTTGGGGCAGGACTGCACTGCTGCATGTTTTCAGTTCAGGTGCTCACTGTACCTGTGTTTTCCAGTTGAGAATACTGGGAAGCTTGACTCATAAGACTACATCACTCATATTTTATCTGCCTTTAATCAAATGTGTACATCTAGGTACTGAGATCATAAACTAGACTAGGTTTGAGTGTTGAAAATTTTTACTGGCTAAAGATACCTCATACAGTTAAGGTAGAGTATGGGTTGACTTTTTAATCTTAGCCAGAAGAATGCAAAGCATTAAATCTCAAAGAACTTCTTAAACCCTCTAGAACATGCCCTAGATCCCAGTTTGAGAAATAACTGGTCTACTACTATTAAGATTTGGCTTTTCTTAGAAATCTATGTTGTGCATTTGGTAGATCAGCCAATAGAGGGAGACACTATCCATCGTCTTGATTTTAATATCGTTTCTGTCCCTTGAGGTCACAGATTTTTTACCCGCAAAATAGAATGCACAGTTTCTGTTAAGATTAACAGTCTGCAAGGAGTGAAAGAGTGCTTAAGGTTAATTATAAAACCTAATTAATTGAGATTTTCTTCATTTTAAATTACGTCTACAAAAGGTAAACTTCTGACTTTGACCACCAATAGAATTTTCAGTCTTTATTTATACGGATGTGGCAGTTATTTGAGATTGAGTGAAAAGCTAACTAAATCTGCATTTTAGAAGAAAAATGACTTTCAAATCTAAGAAAACATACTCTGTTTTGATATGAATCATATGATGAGATGTCATTTTTACCCATTAGTTTGGCAAAGGTGAGAAAATTACATAAAACCTGTTGTCAGTCTTAGAGAACCAGGAAATAAGCTGTTAGTTAGAAACAGCAAGCACTCTCTAGCATTGCTGATAAAAATTGAATTGCTGTATCTTCTCCAGAAAGCCATTTGTCAGTCCGATCAACAGTTAAAGCAGAATACTTTTTTTAGGCTGTAAGTTCTACTTGTTGGAATTTATCTTAAATTAGAAGCATTGTTCATCGAAAGCTGCTCAGTGGAGTGGATTTGGGGGGAGGGATTGTATAACAATGAAAGAATTTTTCTTTTACTTTTCAAAGAGAAGAGCAAACTGGGGGGAAGTTGGGCAGGGAGAAAAGTGCAACAATGAAAGAATGGAAATCCAAAGTCTCTATAAACTTTCATTAAAATTAAAAAATGTACAAATCTATAACATAAAATGTAAGTACTAATCTCAAATACATTCCTCAAAAATAAATTTTCTTACCATGATAAAAAAAAGATGCAGCATTGTTCATATGGAAACCTAGCAACTATCACCATCCACTGCCCTTGGGAGAAAGATACACAGCCTGTGTCTGTAAAAAATTACAGCTTTGTAAAAACCCTGTAGGGCCTCAGTGGCAGTGGTTTGTTCTGGTTTTGTTTTCAGTAAGATAGCATTCAGGTTATCCTCAAGTGGAAAAGCAAGTACAATATTCTAATGTTGTTTGTTTTTCAAAAGAAAAGTATAGTAATGGGTTTATTTCACATACATACATACATACATACAGAGAATTTCTCTGGAAAAGTACAGAAGAGCTGGTGACAGTGATTCCCACTGATGTGAGCCAAGGGCTCTGTGAACCAGGAAAGGGAGGAAGACTTTCTCTTCTTTGAATACATTTAGAGTCTCCTTCAATTCTTTATGTGCTTGTGCTTTTCAAAAAATAAAATTTCTGTTTTAAAAAAGCTACATACTAGGAAAATCAGGTTCTTGTTTTCTAGTAGAATTCTGATAGCGAGAGTGGCAGCATGGTAATATGAAAAGATTGTGGACTTGAAAGTCAGACAGGTTTTGGTTCTACGCTTTCTTAGTTCTGGTTCTTATTAATTATATAATTTAAGCTCTTGACCCTGTCTTATCAGTAAAAGGAGAATGCTGCCCATCTCACAAGTTAATCAGCAGAACGTGTCACTAAATGAACTTGGATTTTCTTTTTTCTATTGCTTGAACTCTTAGAATTTTGAAGTGCTAGAGTGTAAAAACAGGTGTTGGGAGGAAAAATACTGAAAAGTGAGCATTGAAAAATTTTAACAAGTATGGACAGAAAAAATTTTTTCTATGCCACCAGAGTTCCATTATTACATATTAGAAAGTAGTTAAGAACATTTCATCAAATAAATCAACAGGCAGCAATTCATTCTGGTGTTTTGCTTTTTAGAGGATTGTCTTTTGTAAATATGGAAAAGAACAGGAACAAAGAAGGATACAACTTGCAGAGAGTAAAGCTTGAGAGGTGCTGGGGATTTGATTGTGATTTCTGTATCAGATGTGTGGAGATCATCGGTCCTCTGTCCTGCTCCTGCTATAAATTATTCTAAGACATATTAACTCAGCAGCTGTTTGAGCTCTCTTGTTGTACATTCCTTCCTTATGTGGTAGACAAGTGGCTCTTTCCATTTGCTATGCCTTTATGAATGTGTATGTGTGTGTATAAAAAAATAATAACCTCACAGGCATGTCATCTGTGTATGGGTGTTGGAAGTGTCTCCGGTGTGGTATGTACACTCCCATTCTTAGCTTTTTGTCTTGCCAGATAGCAGTCAGGCCTGCAGTAAACTTCAGAGCCACCAGGTGCCAGATCTGCCCATTTCATCTGTATTTTGTGTAAGCAGATAAGTTAAAAAAGAAATAAATCTAGAGCTAGAAATGTTTTAAAACTTTCAAGAAAATACATTATATATTTAAGATGTTTCTGTGGGGTATAGTAGCATTTATAGTTCCCATGGAGTTTTGGGGTGATTTGTTCCAAATAAATGTATTCATTGTTGTTGTCATGTGCTGTCAAGTCGCCTTCGACTCATAGCGACCCTATGTACGACAGTCCTAAACCCTGCTCTATCCCTTGCCAATCTTAATATCTCTGACACACCTACCCCCATTACCCCAGTCACTGAAACAATCCATCTCATCAAGGGTCTTCCTCTCCTGCACTGTCCCGCCACACTCCCAAGAATAACGTCCCTTTCTAAGGACTAGTCCCTCCTTGCAACATGTCCAGAGTATATCAAAGCTTCAGAATCCTTGCCTCCAAGGAGCAGCCTACTTTCACCCTCTCCAGGACCAACTTGTTTGTTCTCCTAGCAGTCCATGATATATACAGTACTCTTCTCCAGCACCGCAGCTCAAAGGCAGCAACATCCCTAGTCATTGTCCAGCTTCCTGATGCATAGCAAGTAATTGCAAAGACCATGATCTTTGCCAGGCGCAACTTAGTCTCCAGGACAACATCATTGCTCCTTAGGACTTTGGAGAGGTCTCTCACAGCAGACTTTCCCAATGCAATTTATCTTTTGATTTCCTGGCTGCTGGTACCACGAGTGTTGATTGTAGAGACAAGGAAACTGAAGCTGTCAACAATCTCAATCTCTTCACCATCTATCATGGTGCTGCCAATCTTTGTTTTCTTGATGTTGAGCTTCAATCCATATTGAAGGTTGCAGTCCTTGACCTTCTTCAGCAAATGCTTCAGGTCCTCCTCAGTAGCTTATATAATTTTTCTAGGAAAGAGAAACATTGTTTACATGTTTCCTTTCAATTTACTAATATAATCAAGTATAATGTTAGAATCTCTAGATAATTAAGCCTTTGCTTAAATATTGGATTAGTAAAAACATAGAGGACAGAATTTGAGTAGTAATAATAGCTAGTTCTTCCTAAAACATAAAAGAACACACCCAAGAAGAACATTAATGAGTGTTCCCAGTTCCAGGTACCATCTCTATCATGTAAGGGTCAGATGAGATACTTTATTCTTAAATATTAGCTGTCCTGCAAGTACTGTTCTGTGAAGGCCAATTTTTTTGGAAGATGGATTCTTTCCTCGAGTATATGAAGGAGTTTGTTCAGGATTGAAAGAAAGGAATTAATAGCCAGTATACCTTTCTGGAAGAGAAATTAGATAATATGTCCCTGTGAAGTTACTGTTACTATTCCATAAATAATAGCTTTCTAAAGGTTGTTTAAGGATTAACAAAGTTCTTATTCTGCAGCATTTATTCACTGCTTGTTCTAATCTTTTTGTCACTTCTGCTCTCCTTTTTTTGCAGGTAGACCATACCATAATAATGTACTTAATTGGACCAGATGGTGAATTTCTAGATTACTTTGGCCAGAACAAGAAGAATGGAGAAATAGCTGGTCTAATTGCTACACACATGAGGAGACAGATGAGGAAGAGCTAACAAAAGCAGTGTTGTCAGCGCAACATTCTCTTGCTGAAGACAAAAAAAGCCGTGTCTCCTGTAGGAGCCACTACATATGCTACTTATGAACTGGCTTTCAGACCAGCAGACATTTGTGTTGGGAACTTCTTGGAGCTGTAAAGTGCATGGTCAGACCATGTTGTGAAACCTGAAGAGTAGCCTTGTGAAGGACACGGCACAAAGAGGTGCAGTTGGTGTGTCTGACCTCATCTGACCATGTCTGACCAGGGCTCTGTTTAGCTTTGCTGCCTTGCCATTGTGTTGGATGCTTTCTTTATGGGTTGTAGAATTTAATTTCTAGGGAAAATAGTATCATTTCTATAGCGCACTTGCTTTCTCTGAATTCTTAGTAGCTAACAGGAGGATGAGGGAGCGCTGGTGGCCTAGTGCTACAATCCCAGAGGCACATGGTTCGAATCCACCTGCTGCTCCACAGGAGAAGGATGAACAGTCTGCTCCTGTGCAATTTACTGCCTCTGAAAACCCACTGGAGCGTTAGCTATGGATTGGCCAACTCTACACACAGCAGCAGCAATGTGGAGGTGAGGGACAACAGCCTCGTTGGATTCCGTCACTCAAGATTACTTTTTATACTTGAAATCATAAATGCCCTGTTCCTTGTTAATTAATGTCAGTGTCAGATTTGCATTTCATTCCATTGTCAGCAAAACGCTGCTTTGACTAATGAACAAGAAATTACTATTTGGGGAAAACCATTGAGCCAGTCAGTGTTCAAGTGACTTTTAGCTACATGATGTGCCATGTTTTCACCGCTGTACTAAATGGATGCTAAGATATGGATCATGAGTGATGTGGCGTGGTTTTCAGCATATACTGACTGGACTTCACTCTTTGCAGTAAAGATGTGTCCAGTTTTGCGCATGGGACAAGTGTGGACTGCCTTATTGTGCCTTCAGAGCCTGTGCATAAATAGTCCTCATGCAAGGACTCAAACCTGAGAGCAGAGAAGGTGGAGACTATAAAAAATGCCAGGTGCAGAGGTGGATTCACAGAATCGGGTAAAACTTCAGATGCACATTCAGTTCAGGTTCCCAGGTGATTGGGATGCTGGGACCATGTTTGATAAGGAAATAAGGTTTACATGTAGAGGAGTAAAGAGACTTGATCTACTTTTAAACTAAAGTGTTGGGCATATGCTTACCCACCTAGGAAGTGCTTGTGGGTAATGAAATGAATCCTGGCTTTTGCTTTTCAGTTTAATTTCCCTGGATACCTGGGCACAATTTTCACCTGCTTTTTAGCTGCTGCTTAAAGCGGAGCTCTCCGAAAGATTTTTAATAAATAGTAAAGTACAACCGATAAAATCCTGGTTGTACAACAGAATATCATTGCTCAGGAATTCGGTTTTAGAGAGCTTGTGATACAGGCTTTTTGGTGTAGTGGGTTGCATGTTGGGCTGCTGACCAGAAGAAGGTTGACAATAAATCTACCAGCCATTCTACTGGAGAAGGATGAGGCAGTCTATTGCCATTAATATGTGCAGTCTTGGAAACCTGATGGAGGGTCACATAAATTGAAATAAACTCATTGGAAATAAGTAGGACTTTTCAATGCTTACATTAAACCTAGATAAAGAAAATGGTTAGGTGCTGTAAATTGCACAGGAGTAGATTGTCCTTTCTTCTGAGAGCAGCTAGTGAATTCGAATTGCCCACCTTTGGTTGGTAGTACACCTCCTGACACACTAGGCCCCCAGAGCGCCCTTTTCTTTGAGTGGGTTTCTAAATAAGCAAATGCAAGATTTAGTTTAGATTAGTTACCCATCAGAAGAGAGTCCTGGTGGCCTGGTCTGGAGCATTGCACTGCCAGTCCATAGTAGTTCAAATCCACTAGCAGCTGCTCCACAGAGGAAAGATGGCCAGTCTCTTAGGCACTTTAAGGCCTCCAAAAACTCACTGGTGGGTCAGCTCTGAATCATTTCCAACTCAATGACAATGAGTTTGATTTTGACACATCAGAAGCAGTTGGTTTGGAATGACTTCCCAAGAAGCTTGTCAAGAAGGTGAATAACTCATGTAACAAGAGCTATCAACTATCTGAAATGCCAAGCTCTGGACAAGATGGTCTGTTTTAAGCCACAAAATATTTGTGTGGTTCACTTTGCAGCAGGGTTGCTCTTAAGTAAAATTTAGTCTTCATTCTCAGCTGTTGCAGGTTAGAGCTAGTGTAATAGCCCAGAAAAAGAACAGCAGCTTTTGAGAAACCTTTTCTTTGCACTCCATTCCAGTGTCAAGTTTAAAGGCTTGGAGTCAGTGTCAGTACCTGGGAAACAGGCTTCGGAGATGACTTAGTCCAAATCGCTGTGTGAAGTCACCATCTAGGTTTCTCCTTCTAATCCTCAAGTAAAACTCAGATCCCAATTGCTGGACAAGCCTCTGCTTGTCCCACTGCCACAGTGTGCGTGGTGACTATATATTTCCAACTGAAAATGGAAGTGGGGGCATTTGCCAAGTGCTGGGCAAAGAAAACAAACCAACTGGGAATCGTGAGAAATAAAAAATTGGCTGTCTACAGTGATGTATCACCTTGAGATCTTTACCTGGATATTGTTTTCACCAGACTAATGGAATTAATATTTTAAGAAACATGGTTTGCTTCTTTAAAAGAAGAATCTTGCCAATGCAAAAGGCATGCAAGGGCTTAATGCATCAGGCTATTCCTGGGACAGCTGCTGCTTCAGTGTAAAGGCTGAGATTTACTGAATGCCAAACTGATGAGTGGCAGACACCCCTGTGCATTGAGAAGCTAATGTGAGCCTGGGAAAACTTTATATTTATATATATATATATACACACACACACGCACACACCCCACACAAACTGCAGGAGAAGGATGGGAAGTCTCCTGTGCAATTAACTGCCTCTGAAAACCCACTGGAGCGTCAGCCATGGGTTGGAGCTGACTCAATGGTTTACCTCCACAATAACATGTAAACTATCATAAATGCAGTGGCAATATCTTTCCGGCTTTCAGATGTATAGCACAGTGTATAACTATGAGAAAACTGTTTAAAGCACCCAAGCAAGCATTTGCTATCCATTTCACTGATAACCTTATCCATGGTCATGAGTTAGCTCATTTCTTGCCGGATGGTTATTGCTGGGTATTAATGAACTGCAGTGACTTTTCTTTACAGAAATTCAAACTGTTCCTTTAAAAATTTATATAGGACAGATAAAGCTCAAGTCTCTCTTGGCCACCTTTCCCTTAGTCTTAGATCTCCTCAGCGGTAACCACTATTTAGCATTTGCTGTGTGTCTTTCCAGAGCATTTAAGATCTCCTTAGGTTATTTCAAAGATCCTTGATGGTGCAGTGGTTAAATGATCTGGCTGCTAACTTAAAAGTTGGCAGTTTGAGAACCCACAAGGTGGTGGTCTAGAACCCACAAGGTGGTGGTCTAGAAAAGCCGTCTGGCTCTAAAGAGCCTTAGGATACCTCCAGGACAGTTCTATATCCTATAGGGGCTGTACCTCAGAGCAGACTTCACAGTAATAGGTTTCAGTTTGATAAGCTGTTTCCAGAACTAGAAAGTTTTGAACTCTTAAGATTTAGTGGGAAATGTTAACTACCATAAGTAGCATATATTTGCATTGTCTAATTACTGAATTTTATGAAACTTTGAAGGTGACCCAAGTAGCTCCCTCGCCAAGGTAAGGTTGGGGGGTGGGCTTTAACTAGGGATGAAAGTTAAGTTTGCAGGCTGAGCTTCAGTCATTCCCTCCCCCTCAATACCCACACACCCCTTAGGTAATGGCATCATTGCAGAGATGATGCTGGAGAAAAGCCCACCCCGCCCCCACTATCTGAGAATGGTGATGCAGAATTGGAAACCTCGTGATCATTCAAGGTGGCAGGTACCTCTGGTGGTTGTTAGGCCTCCTCACATTAAGTACAACTCCTAGAAACCCAGTGAACAACAGATCTGAACCCTGTCCTGCCTTTGCCATCATCATTTCTGACACTTCAGTCTATTGCTGCAGTCACTGTGTCAAGTCATCTTGTTGAGAGTCTTCCTCTCTTTGCCTCTCCACCTTTCCAAGCATCATGTCACCTGTCCTCTAAGAAGCTCTCTGGCTGTACTTTCTCCAAGACAAATCTGTTCTTTGGCAGTCCATGGAATATTCAGCATGCTTCTCAAGACAAAGGCATCAGTAACCTGAGCGGAAAACTGCAGCTTTCCGTAACAGGCTGCTTTCTGGCTTCTGTCCTGGAGGTTTGGGTGCGTAGCAGTGTATATCCAACGTACACTGCTGATCCTGTTTGGCATTTACTGAACTCAAACACACCTTGCTTGAATCCTAAAAATCTGAGCAAGTTAACCTCTTTTGCCTGTGTTCTTGCCAATAACCTAGCCCATATATAGGCATGAGTTATACATGAAATGGGATTTTGACCTCCATAGAAATATATAGAGCTCTAATGGCAAAGTCCCAAGGAGCAAAAACCAGCTGAGCTGTGGGAGAAGATCAAGAACATCATCTGTGAAGATTGCAGATGGCCATTACAAAGGCAGAGGAGGAAGAAAAGACCAAGGTGGATGTCAGATGAGACTGAATATTGCACTAAAAACCAAGAAAGTAAAGAAGAAATTAAGGAGCTAAGCAGAAAATTTCAAAGGGCACAGTGGGAAGTCAAGGCAAAGCACTATAATGAAATGTGCAAAGAGCTGGACTCAGAAAATCGAAAGGGCTGAACTTGCTCAGTATTTCTTAAGCTGAAAGAACTGAAGAACAAATTCAAGCCCCAAGTTGGAATAACTTAGCATGCTTTGGGCTGAGTCCAGAGTGCTAACATGATCCAGGAAGCATTAAAAGGAAATGGAGTATACAGAGTCTCTGTGCCAGAAAGAATTGGCCGGCAGAATTTAGTGAAACAACATAAGACCAAGAGCCTGTGTTGATGAAGGTAGAAGTTCAAGCTGCTCTGAAGGAACTGGCAAAAAATAAGGCCCCAGGAA